ATACTCAGTTTGCCCTAAAATAGAACGTCGCTGTTTAAATGTAAACCATTATTTGAAAAAAATCGCACATAACGTGATCAGATTATTGCTGGGATAGCAATGGTTAGCTTTATTCAAGGTAAAGGTATCACTTCTGAGTCTCTGCAGAAATATTTCTGAAATTGCCTTATTTTTAAGAAAGCCAGATTTCTTTTTATACTGATGTTTATAAAAAGCAGAGCACTTGAAATGTAAATGATGACATTAACCATTTTCATTTCTGTCCATTATAACACCAAGAGGAAAAACATTTCTATTCTCAGGTCATTGTTTAATTAAGGTGTAATTGCTATGAATATTTTATACAAACCATAATGTTCAATATGGAATATAAAAATTCAAGCCATGTGCAGTGGCTCACAACTATAATCCTAGTACTTTGTAAGGCCGAGGCTGCTGGATCACCTGAGGTCAGGAGTTCAAGACAAGCATGGCCAACATGGTAAAACCTAGTCTTTCCTAAAAATAAAAAATTAGCTGGGCATGGTGGCACGTGCCTGTAATCCCAGCTACTTGGGAGGCTGAGGCAGGAGAATCACTTGAACCTGGGAGGTGGAGACTGCAGTGAGCTGAGATCATGTCACTGCACTCCAGCTTGGGCAATGAGGTGAGACTCTGTCTCAAAAAGAAAAATTCAACTAATAAGGAATTTGTAGTTAAGTGAGAAGATAAGACATATACATACATAAAGATAACATAAAGCAAAAAAATGGAGAGTTCCCAGGAAAGGAAGAAAGCAGCACTGTAGGATTTCAGCAATGTCTTACACAGACAGCAGCAGTCCCCAACCATTTTGGCACCATTGACCAGTTTTGTGGAAGACAATTTTTCCACAGACCTGGGGTGGGGGGGATGAAATTGTTCCACCTCAGATCAACAGGCATTAGATTCTCCTAAAGATCATGCAACATAGATTCCCTGCATGTCCAGTTCACAACAGGGTTTGGGCTCCTAGCTCCTGTGATAATCTAATACCACCACAGATCTAACAGGAGGTGGAGCTCAGGTAGTAATGCTCACTCACCAGTGGCTCACCTCCTGCTGTGTGGCCCAGTTGCTAATAGGCCACTACTGGTCCTTGGCCTGGGGTTGGGAACCCCTGATACACAGGACATTTAGGGAAGAATTGTGCCAAATACTACTTAACTCTAGGTTCTGGAGATATTGCTGTGGATAAAAAAACTACTTTTGCTTTCCCAGGACTTATTTTTTTAATAGATATTAATCAGGAATTTGCATATACGTATTATTGGCATATAAAGTATGTCCCATGAACTACTGTTCAGAATGGATTTTCAAGTTCCTGTACTGCAGAGGGCTAACCTGGTACTACCTGAACTAATACAATTGTGAATCACCCTCTCACAAAAAATTGTTTTCTTGACACAATGAAAGTCTGAACCTTCAAGTTTAAGACCAGCAGCAATAAAAATTTTTGAAAACCACAACTTTAACCAGCACAAGCTAGTATACTATACACTGAATGTTTATGCCCCACCCCCAATTCCATTGAAACTTTATCCCCAGGATGATGGTATTAAGGCAGAGCCTTTTGGAAGCCATGAGGTCATGAGAGCAGAACCCTCATGAATCAGATTAGTGCCCTTGTAAAAGAGACCTTAAGCAGCTCCGTCATCCCTTCTACCATGTGAGGTTACAGCAAGAACACCGCAGTCTATGAACCTGGAAGAGGGCCCTCACCAGATCCCAAATCTGCCAGTGCCTTCATCTTGGAATTCCTAGTCTCCAAAACTGCAGGAAATAAATTTCTGTTCAAAAGCCACTTAGGCTCTGGCGTTCCATTATAGCATCCCAAACAGACTAAGACACAGGACTTGTTCTACTTTCATTAAGTTAGATAAGATTCTAAATAGCTATCTAGTTTGTCATGAGTCATAAATTTATATTTTGTGATATTACTTTACTGTGAAAGGCTAAAAACTCCCAAATAAAATATTCTAAATCAGTATACAATAAACATCCCTCATATAGTTGTCTTCAGTGTTCTGTATTTTCTGGATATATTTCTATACATAAATACACCAGGTTTACATAAGACATTCATTCCTTGATACACATACACACATATAGATACACACACATACCATGTATACACAAAATGTACACATAATATATGTGTAAGTTAGATAGATACACACACACACCAATATCTTAAATCATTATGACATGCTGAAAAAATTACTCTTCCCTGGTGTGTCTTCATTTCTTCCATATGGCCCTCCTGGTTGGGAGAGGGTCAGTATGAAAGACTCAAGAGAAATGAAAACTCTCTGTACCTCCCAATGGTTACATTTTAAATACCAATTTCACTGGATCACGAATATACTAGATGCATGATTTACTTCTTCCAGTTTGTCCTTTGCATAGTGACAACTATACAATAAATCACTCAAATCTTCCCTCTCAATCTATGTTTATGACTCAGTTTCACTGAATGCTTATGCTCACCATGCTTAATGGGTACCAGTTCTAACACTTGGTCCACAGATTCTGTACAATGCAACATGATAAATATTTTGTCTTACATTGGTCTCAATCTCACAGGTGAGACCACCATATAACGTAAGTTTAAAAAGAGCCAAACTCAAGAATGAATGAGCAGGCCGAACACACCGTCCTCAAAGGAGTGATGGAGGAAAACAGTCTGCATCCTGCCCACCACGTGGATCTCCCCAGAGCCAAGAATTAATTGACTTGAGACAGAAAAGTCAAGGACCAACTAAGACCATGCCCCAAAGAGCAGAACTTAAATACCAGGCAGATCAAACACAAGAACGGAAATAAAGACAAAAAAAAAGCACTCAGAGATACCAGACACCAAATAGGACCAAACTAAGACTTTACCCTAAATATAATCAAAAGCACTGAAAAAATCCTGCCTTCTTACTACTTGAATCAATACTATTTAATGTCACATCCTAGCTAAAGACATCTCATATCGCACTCCCCAGTGGCACTAACTATATCGTGCTATGGCTATTCTCTTCCAATACCTTACTCCCTTTACTGCCACCTTTGTTAAAAAAAAAAAAAAAAGTACTACATAAAAGAAAAGCTAAATGTCCTGCCATTTAGTGAAATAAACTGTAGCAGCATAGAGAAACAGAGGCAGAATCAACGAAATCCCAGCTTTACCATAACACTAGCCGTGTGACCCCGAGTAAGTCATCTAACCTCTCTAACTTTCCTCATGTAAAATAGGCATGGTGATAATGGCATCTGATCACAGATCATCAGAGAAATGCAAATCAAAACCACAGTGAGCTATGACTTCACACCTGTTGGCACGGCCATTATGAGAGAGAGAACAGATAGGTGTTGGTGAAGACGTGGAGAAAAGGGAGCCCAGGCACGCTGTTGGTGGGAATGTAAATTGGTACAGCCATTATAGAAAGCAGTGTAGGCCGGGCATGGTGGGATTACAGCTCACGCCTGTAATCCCAGCACTTTGGGAGGCCAAGGCGGGTAGATCACGAAGTCAGGAGTTTGAGACCAGCCTGACCAACATGGCGAAACCCTGTCTCTACTAAAAATACAAAAATTAGCTGGATGTGGTGGCACATCACTGCAATCCCAGTAACTTAGGAGGCCAAGGCAGGCGGAGGTCACAGTGAGCCAAGATTGTACTACTGCACTCCAGCCCGGGTGACAGAGAGAGACTCCATCTCACAAACACACGCACACAAAAGGCAGTGTAGGTGTTGCTCAAAATATTAAAGACAGAACTATTATATGATCCAGCGATTCTACTTCTTGAGTATACACTCAAAGGAAATGAAACAAGTATGTTGAAGAGATATCTGTACTTCTATGTCCACTGCAGCACTACTCATAAGAGACAAAATAAGGAACCAACCAGAGTGTCCATCAACAGATGAATGGATAAAGAAAATGTGGTACATATACACAATGAAATATTACTCAGCCATAAAAAAGAAAGTAATCCTGCCGTTTGCAACATAACAGATGAATGATGAACCTGGAGAACCTGGAGGGCACTATGCTAAGTGAAATAAGCTAGATGCAGAAAGACAAATAAGGAATCTAAAAAATTTGAACTCATAGAAGCAGATAGCATAAGGGTGGTGGCCCAGGAGTAGGAGGTCGGGAAAATAGGAAGATACTGGTCAAAAGGTACAAACTTTCAGTTATAAGATGAATAACTTCTAGAGATCTTATATACAGCGTGGATGGTGATGGATGTGTTAATATGATTGTGGTAATCAATATGTATATCAAATCAGCATGAATATATTCAATATACACACCCAGAATGTATTCAATCTTTTTCAATTAAATATTTAAAAATTTTAAGTGTGTATGAGTGAGTGCGTGTGTGTGGTGCACAGAACAATGCTTGGCTTAAATTAGTCCCCACATCAGTACTGACTATTGTTTAAATTATAAATAAACAGTTAAATAAATAAATAAACCATGGGCTGGGCACGGTAGCTCATGCCTGTAATCCCAGCACTTTGGGAGGCCTAAGCGAACGGATCACGAGGTCAGGAGTTTGAGACAAGCCTGGCTAACATGATGAAACCCCGTCTCTACTAAAAATACAAAAATTACTAGGGCATGGTGGCACATGCCTGTAATCCCAGCTACTCAGGAAGCTGAGGCAGGAGAATCGCTTGAACCCAGGAGGCAGGAGATGACACCATTACACTCCAGCCTGAGTGACAGAGTGAGACTCCATCTCAAAAACAAACAAACAAACAAAATGTGAATGACCTCATATGCAATATGATTTGATTCACAATTTTTAAAACCATGAGATCACACATTTGTTTGATATGTTCCTAGAAAGTATTGAAGTATTGTAACAAACTCCTACTTAGGCAAAGTCACTACAGTCAGATCAAATTTCCTTAGAGGACCTTAAGCAAAGAGCCTGTATGTGCACGTAGACATGAATTGTGTACATATTATATACTCACACATAAACGTCCTTCTATTACTCACATTCTCATAGAGAGCTTGAAGGGTCTCCAGGTCAACCACAGAATTGTCCAAGTTCACAACAGCTGTGGAAAAAAAAAAAAGAATATAAATTGCCACAAGCCGCCTGGGAAAAGATGTTTGACCGTCTCAGGCAACAGGCTCATGACCCAGCAGCCAGAAGGCGGAGGGGCTTTAACTCTAATATTTCCTCTTGCCCCCATTGCAAAGCCTGCACCCAGAATTTCACTGGGCCAGGTGTCAAGTGTTAAAGCTTTCACTTGCTCCACAAATATTAAATTCCGTGAAAATGGCCCAGGCAAAGGTCAGAGAGAAACTGTGAGGTTTCATGCCCTAACTGAATGAATTTGAAAAATCTGCTTAATACCACAAAAGTAGGCAAATCACTCTGGTGAGTGCTACATCCCAGTTTTATACCAATAAATACTTAAATTCACCAGTTTATCTGGAGCATTTGACAAAGGTAAAATTTAGTCATTAAACTGTGGATTTAGTACAAAAATGACGGGTGCATTTCCTGTTACAATTCCTCAAAATGTTATAACCAAAGGATGATTCTTTGATATTGGTAGTGATGTTTGCACAGAGGCTACCTTAAAAATCCATCCTTAAAATATACACTACCCATGGTTATGCAAGGAAGAAGCCGGACAGATAATAGAAAAATCAGGAATATTTTCTTTATGCATTTGTTTGCCTGGAGAAATCTGTATTGTATTTTGGAGTAGGTGTGCTTTATTACTTGGTTTAGGCATAGGTTAATAAAAATCATGCTGTGTTTTCTTTGCGGATATTAGGTAGAAACAAGGTGAATTTGCCCTGATAGAATTTGTGCCAAGTAGCCAGTGAAGCTCTTGGAAGGTTACAAATTTCCGAGACAAAAATCACCAAGTGAATAATCACAAACTGAATATATTTATTTTGATAACAGAGGCATTTTACAATGTCTCATCTCTCAAAGTTTCACATGAGACATTATCTAGTTGACTCTGGCAAAACCCCAGGAAAGCATTTAAAAAGATAAGTGGGAAATGGAATTATAGAATGGATGAGAAATCTAACCAAGGTAATTACCTTTTGTATTTGGATCTGGGAAAAGAGCCCAGATTCACCAAAAAATATTGTACCAAGTAGAATATGATACCTCCAACCTAATAATAATCCACGATCTCAATTTCAAAAAAAAAAAAAATAGGTCTGAAATAGAAATCTAAGAGTAAGAGTCTCAGTCAAATCTTATTCATTAAACCATCTAAGGCAAACTTATCACGAACTTTAATGTTTCAAAGTAGTAAATGCACAGACCAACTAACTTTGACCACATTTTAAAAATTAATTAAAAGGGATTATCTAATAATTTTGCTGTGATCATATGTAATGAAATGCATAAAATCCGAGTAAAAACAGCAAATTTATCCATGGAATTCGATTTGTGCAGAGTCTACTTCAAGAAAATCTTACAGTGAATCCAAAGGTTTCTGATTTTGGAATTCATTAGCTAGCTAATAATCCAGTAATTCTCTACATGTTAAGAAAACTATAAAAGAAATCCTAAAAATCAACTTGGTATAAGATTTCAACTCCAGAACAAGGCAAAGAAACACAATAATATTATTCATAATCAATTCAAAGCTCATCAAGTACACAATTGCCCTTTGATTTTCTCCATCATTTTAACCCATACTATTATTCCCATATAAAACTTTACTTGTGAATATTCTAAGGTTTCTCATCTTTCTAGCTCATGTAATGCCATATACATAAGATCAAAAGAATATTAAGAAAGACAGACATCTCATGCAATGTCATATACATGAGATTCAAAGAATATTGTTAATAATGAATAGCTTAATAAATGTCATGTGCTCCTAAACAAGTTCTCAAAGAGTCCTAACTCATGAGATCTTATTTTTTACTCTTCAACAGAAAATCTCACTCGAAAGCCACACTGTTACTGTTTCTCCAGAAAATTTCCCCCTAGTTGGTGTGAGAGAAGTTAACACAATTCAAATGGGAATCAGCAGTTTTCAGGGCAAAATCTTCTTAGCTAAAAAGAAAGAAAGATTAAGTCCTGAAAGATGAATGGATGCAGTGATAGAAATTCTAGATAGGCGATAAAGGTAAAAGAAGTAACTTGGGAAAGATTAAGATTACCAAAGTGCTATACTTTCTCAATTTAAAAAGCACATGCTGACATTTCAGAAATCAGGACTTAGATTAAATTGCCTATGTTACTAGATGTTTAGTAGTGTCTTCCATTGTTCCCATCCTTAAAATCTGTGATTTGGTCAATGGTGCATTTTCAACTGATGAAATTCTAAAATAAAGGAAATAAGATAAGCATTCCCAAATGTATTCAACAAATGTAAGGTGTTTCCTATACATCAGCGATGTATTACACTAGTTTACCAGAAGGGTTAACAGTTACTTGAGTAATAATGATTTGAAGTTGGAGCTATTTGGGTGGGAATGTGCTAAATTTCCCAGCCTTGAAAATCTGCAGACAACTGGTAATGCACAGAGAATACAACAGATTTCTACATCATTAAGAATGGCTGAAAGGTTTTTTTTTAATTATTATTTTTTACTTATTTACTTATATATTTACCTATTTACTTATTTATGTATTTCTTTATTTAGGTGGCAAAAAGATTCAAAGAAAAAAACTCATCAGAAATTTCTTGATTCCAAATCCAAAATTTCAGCCTTGTTTGGGAGGAAAGAGCCTGAGTATTGAAATGTTATCGAGGTGATACAGTTCCTCCAAAGGGAATATTATTTTTACAGGATACAGTTTCCCGATGTGGAACAAACATAGAACATGGAATGAAACTAAACTAAATTTCAATTTGAATTTTTATTTGTTGCTGCATGACTTCAAGTAAGTTGCTTTTTATAAGTTTTAGTTCCTTTAGGGGCAGGAGCAAGGAAATAATGGAAAATATTAGCAAAGTTTTGGTTTTGGGTTTTTGTGGGGCTCAGGGGCAATAATAAGTTAAAGGATCTGGCATGGGGTTGGTGAAAGTTACTTTCCCATGCCAACTTTTCACAAAATTTCAACTATTAGAAGATCCTTCCAGGCTGGGCATGGTGGCTCACACCTGTAATCCCAGGATTTTGGGAGGCCAAGGCAGGAGGATCATGAGGTCAGGAGTTCAAGACTAGCCTGGCCAAGATGGTGAAACCCCGTCTCTACTAAAAATACAAAAAAATTAGCCAGGCATGGTGGTGGGCACCTGTAATCCCAGCTACTCGGGAGGCTGAGATAGAGAATCACTTGAATCTGGGAGACGGAGGTTGCAATGAGCCGAGATTGCGCCACTACATTCCAGTCTAGGCAATAGAGCAAGACTCCGTTTTAACAACAACAAAAAAGATCCTTCCTGCTCAAGTGGCCTTATAATCAAGCCCAAGGTTAAACAAGTTGATTTTTTTTTTCTATTTGTGTTTTGGCTTCCTCATGTATAAAAAAAAAAAAAAATTCCTACTGCATCTACTGAGGGATGGCACCTTTACGTGAATGATGAGCTATTAGAATGAAACAAGAGAGCCCGACACAGAGCTACTGGGGCTTGTTCGTCATAATCTGTCTTGTTCATGAGAATTTAAATCATTAAGAACAAGACTAGACTTCAGATAAACCCAAAATTTAAAAGAATATTCAGTGATAAATGTTTAATTCAGGTTACTTTACCCTCTAATATTCAGCAAGGTGCCACTGTGATTACACTTCAGATTAGAGGTCAGATATCTCACACTCATTTCCTCCTTGCTGCTTTAAGATGCTGAGTAACACCCATCCTCGCCTAGGACTCATTACAATTCCCACCCCCACCCAACCTCTGCAGTCTACAGTGCAGTTTTAATCACTTTCTCAAAAACATATATAAGTACATTTAACCAGGAAGTATCCGTTCTGTTTTTATGTGAGTGGGTTCGAGGAGAAAGGTGTTGAGAGGAAGCACTGATCCTTTTGTACCTTAAAAGATTATTCACTTATTTGTCAAATATGGTAACTTTCCAGAATTAAAACAAATTTAGATATTTACCACTTCCTTTAAAGAGCCTACACACAACCGCAGATTAATAATCACTCCAGCTGGGCTTGGTGGCTCACGCCTGTAATCCCAGCACTGTGGGAGGCCGAGGCAAGCACCTGAGGTCAGGAATTCAAGACCAGCCTGGCCAACATGGTGAAACCCCATCTCCAATAAAAATACAAAAATTAGCCAGGCATGGTGGTGCATGCCTGTAGTCCCAGCTACCCAGGAGGCTGAGACAGGAGAATCACTTGAACCTAGGAGGCAGAAGTTTCAGTGAGCCAAGATCATGCCTCTGTACTCCAGCCTGGGTGACAGTGCCAGACTCTGTCTCAAACAAACAAATAAACAAACACCACTCCAGACCAAAATGGATAGCAATTCTTGTCTATGACTTGATCAAATGCCAATGTCTAGATAGAGAAGTAGAAGAACATAGTAATCTTTCAGGCTTTCATACAAATTGGCTGTATGTCTTTGATCAAGACACTAAGCTTCTCTGAGACTTTATCAAGTGGGATAATAACTTTTGTTTATACCATATGTTTATCATGCGGAGAAAATAAGTAATTACATAGTAGAAAGATAACTCAAAAAGCCTTAGAATAATGGGTGTGATTAATTTTAAGGTGTATATTACCTATAAACACATTGGTTCAGAAATTAGATTAAAACTAGGTGCTAGATTAAAACTAGGTTCAGGATGAAACATGGGCTTTCAATAGTTAAAAGATCACAACAGCTATTCTCATCATGAACTCCACCAGTATGAACTCACTAAGATCCAATGCCGTTTTTGTTAAACCACGCTGTTACAAAATGAAAAATGAAATGGCCTATTTTGGAAGTCAAATAGTCAATTTCACCTAAGATATTTTAAATGTCTCAAAACAAAATGTCCAAACAGAAAAAGAAATCTGTTTTTCTTTTGATTTCAAGATTTTGATTGATGGCTGCATTACATTAAAAAATTAAAGAAAAAGCAATTCGAAACGACCAAGCGTTATAGACTCAACATAGGAAAC